TTTGCCCTAGGCCAGTGTCTAGTTGCAGTTTGTCAGCTATCTAAAAGAAGAATACTGGGATGGGAGCAGGTGTGTAAGAGAGAATTTAACTAAGTAACATATTTATCTTGTTTATGATGGCTTTTATTTCCATTTTAATTTTTAAAAGTTAGGATTTAGGTTATTACTTTTTGGACATATCTAGTTGACAGCTGTAACTGGCATAAAGTCAGTCCAGTAGCAGATTGGCAATGGTAGATGGGCATTTCCAGCTTTGCCCTAGGCCAGTGTCTAGTTGCAGTTTGTCAGCTATCTAAAAGAAGAATACTGGGATGGGAGCAGGTGTGTAAGAGAGTGTCTAGTTGTAGTTTGTTAGGTCAGCAGTTAACTTCTAGCAGCATATTAGGAACATTACTCAGATTTTTATTATTGTAAGACTGGTCAGCATTTCATATCTGTGACTAAGTTGTACACCACAGTCAGTCTGACTAAAGCCAGTCCCTACTATTTCACTTTGTTCGTAGAAGAAATGGAAATAGTAGGGGCTGGCTTTAGTCAGACCGACACCACAGTAACGGAAACATGATTACGGATACATATCTTCATCAAATCATATACCATAAGTTGTAAATTAGCATTTCATTATGTAGGAGAATAAGTATAAAGATGATTGTTTCTTGCAGTTTTATTTTTATTACACATTTCCTTGAGAATTTTAAGGAGTATCAACTCATATTCATTGATTATATTTACAGCTTAATTTGGATAAATTTAAAATTCTAAAACACAAATTTCTAATAATTCATTTATTTAAAAGAATTATAAAATAATTTGAGTTCTTACTCCTTGTTTCGTTATTGTTACCAAGATTTATTCTTTACTTGTTCTTCAGGCCCATTTTGAAGTTTAACTGAAATTGAATGCTTGATAATTTAGTTAAAGAGCATTTTCCATATTATGAGATTAGTCACTGAAAACATAATCTTTTATTTAATAATTTTCTGTTAAAATGATAACATAATTTTCTTTAAATAAGAATCATGATTTTTATTAGCTCACCTCAACGAAGTTGGGGGAGCTTATGTAATACCCTCGGCGTTGGTGTCCCAGGTTAAAGTTTGTGGAGCAGTTTTCTTTTTAAGTACTTCTATGCCCTATATTAATCAGAGATGCATTGAGGATGCTTCTAATGTGTTTCATTGTACCAGTCAAGGTTTCAGATGCTGCAATTTCAGCTGAAGAATGACCAGGTTAATGTTTTTGGAGCAGGTCAAAGTTTTTGGAGTGGGTTAAAGTTTTTGGAGCATGTCTCATTTCAAAGTAGCTACAGGCCCTTTAATGTTGACCAGACTTGCATGGATGATAATCTAAGGATGCACACTACTGTACTTGCTGGATCTGACCTACATTTTCCAGATGAGTGACCAGGTTAAAGTTTTTTGAGCAGATCTCATTTCCAAGTAACTACCGGTATAAGGCTTATCTGAACCACACTTGCATGGATGAAGCATCAAGGGACGAACACTCTCAAACTTGCTTTAGATGACTGGATTTTCTGGATGAGTGAATAATTTAAAGTGTTTAGATAAGTCCATTCCCAAGTAACTGCAAGCCCCATCAGATCAAAATTGCATAAATGTTTCATCTAGGGGTGCACACTATTACATTATTACTTTAGTTTGGGACTTTGCCTTACTTAAAGAAAACATCATTGCGGTGAGCAATGTAATCTCTGATTACCTATGTTTTACTTTTAAAATAAATGACATTGATATTTATTAAATTTTTGATTTTTGAATACCCAAAGAAAAAAAAAAAGAAAGAAAAAAAACAAAAAACAAAAACAAACTAAACAAAGCTAACGCTGTCAAAATATACTTTACCAAATAATATATAAAAAATAGAGGGTTAGTTCCAATATAAGTCAATATCATACATCTTTATCAAAAAGAGCATATGATAATTTTCCAATGCATTGGTTTTTCTTAGCGTTAGTTTTGTTTTATTTTATGGGCCGAAACTTTCCTGGTGGTTTTAAAATTTAAGTGAAAAATTTTGTTTTGGTAAAAATTTTAAAGTAATATTAAGTGATTCTTTTTATACACCAGGAAGGTATCAGGGAAATACATATCAATTTTATTTTAAACTTCATCAGATTGATCTCTTCCCTGACTGATGAGGCCCAAAGAGACAATCTGATGAATTGAACAAATGTGTGGCAGTCAGGCAGATTCATTTGCTGGTAAGCAGATACATGTTGCATGCCATGGTTGGTAAAGCACCTGATTACTTATTTTAAGGGTGGAGGGGGGGGGGGGGGTGTGTTCAAATTCTGGTCAAGTCTGTCACATTTTCTCTTTTATTGTTACATTTGCAAAGTATGCTGTGTATTTGTTTAAAAACCACAACTATCTGTGTCAATTCTTTTATGTATTTTAAAGCAGATTTCTTCTGGCTACTTAGAGTACCGTATGAGGCCCAATTCAGTGCTTAGTCCATTGTATGATGATATATTGTACGAGTTCTAGTCAGTCCTCCAGCTTGCAGAAGAGATAACTGGTGGCATGCAGTGTGAATGACAAACCCCTCAAAGAACAGTCATATTGTACATGAAATTGATTATTCTGGCTGAGATCTTTGAATTCTTTCATTTTCTGCAATGATTTGTCTATACTATAATATGTAATATTAGGTATGTTTTAAGCATTTAACATGTTTAATACCTTGATTTTGCTAAAGTTTAGGACTTTCTGTGAGAAAAAAAATTTATGAAATCAAATCCTTTGAATGACATCCTTTTTATGACTATGAAATCTGTATTTTAATTTTTTGATCTGTGTGTTTTTTGCGGATTGGTAGGTAGGATTTTGAAGGATGGGTGGAAGGTAAACATAGAAAAAACTTGGAATGGCCTTATCATTATAAAAATCAATTATGACAAAAAGTGTCAATATCACTTACTGTAAACCAATTTTCGAAACCAGTTTAGCGACCTTCTTTTACTCACTTATATTTCCTGTCGCGATGTGTGTAAAATAAAAAAATCATTACTTTTTACCATCCGTGTCTTTTTTTTTTCTATACAACCACTGCTTACTTTGACTGAAAACAGGTTCCCCAATAAATGAAACTATAATACTCAGTCATTACCCAAATATGACCATGTGCATTCCAACTTCTTTAAAAGCATCGTGAAGTCATCTATAGAAAGTTATTTGCCATGCTAACATAGTTTCAACTGCATAGATGGCCTACATTTGTTGGAAAATAGCTCATATTGGAGGTCAAATTAAAAATGTATTTTGCAGAATAAACAAAATACATGACAACTTTCTTGAAACACAAGCAATTTCTGGGCTTAGGTCAAAAACACAGAGGCAAGCCACTCTTATCCTTGGCTAAATATTGCTTACATGTATATCACAGTAAATATGTATCTTACTTACATAACTGAGGCTATTACTCATAAGAGTAAGCATAGTATTAAATGATGATGGATCATGCATTCAACATACAGGGTGTTTCAGAAAACATGCAACTATTTCAAACTACTGAATTTCTCTATGATTTCAATCAATACCAGCCAACAACCTATCATTTTGAAAGGTATAATTTCAAGATTTATTTTTAAGAAAATGAAAATGAAAACAATCCCTCAAATAATTAATGAGTTATGAAAGAATTAAGAGAAGTTGTAAAATGTCATTTCGTTACAAAATATGCTTTAAATGGTGTTCCTTTTGTTGAATAAATAAATCTAATTATCAGATGTTAGATATTTCCTATAAGGCCATTCCAAGTTTTTTCTATGTTTAGAGTCCACGTGCGCCTAGGTTTTTGACACCTTATATCAGAAAAAACAAACAAAATCAGGATACCTGAAACTGATTATTCTAGTCAAAATCTTTGAATTCTGTCAATTTTTGAAATATTTGTCTACAATATGTCATGTTAGGTAAACTTTAAGCATTTAATATTCTGATTTTGCTTAAGAATAGATCTTTCTACGAGAAAATAGATTAATGAAATCAAATCCTATAATTGACCTTATTTTTATGATTATATATTCTTTGTTTTATTTTTTCTTTTGTGTGTTTTTTGCAAATAGGTAGGTAGGTTTTTAAAAGATGGGTGGATGCTAAACAGAGAAAAAACTTGGAATGGCCTAACTATAGCACAGGATTTCTGTGTAATCAGCTTTTAATTTATGGCCAAATTGTCTGTAGTCTGAGGTCCTATTTTATAAACGGTGTCCTTCAAATGTCCTTGGAAATAAAAGTTAAGGGGTTTTAATCAATACGTGAGTGTCAAAAAAAGGCAAACGTTAACATTATGGAATTGAAGAAGATGATGTTTTTGTCATCCACTGGCATTCAGTCCAGAACACACTATGAGGTATGTTGGGCACCTCATTTTTGCTGAAACCATGCATTTTCCACATCATTGGTTTTCTTCTGCAAAGGGTAGATCTTTCTTGTGAAACAACTTCAGGTATTTTTCAGAATAGACACATTCCATTTCGATTCTTGAAAGAAAAATGGGCCAGGTCAATGATTCCCCTTGTGCCAAGGACTGCCTTTGATTTTAGTCCTTAACCTTAGTCTTGTATTCCATTAACTTCCTTTTTTTAAACATTCTTTATAACTTCCATTTATTAGTATTTGAGTTCTGCTGGATTCCTTTTTTCATTGTTCTTCTCGCAAGAACCTGTGATGTGCTTTTATATACCAGTTTCAACACCTGCTAATTGTTTCTAGTAGATTCATAGGTAATTGTTTGTTTTTAATGATGTCAGATATGATGTCACAACTAATTTAATTGATGTTTATTCCCCATATTTTTGTTATCAATAAAATCTTAGGCCTTTTTAGTATAATTTGGTATGAAACTTGTAAAAATTTCTGTTTGCATATCAACAAAGTAAGGGAAGTAAATGGTTGCATGTTTTCTGACACACCCTGTACATTACAAGTAAAATAAAAGAAAACTGTTATATAGCTTAAAAAATTCAAAACAGTATATGATGTTTACAATAATTTTATTACTTTCCTTTAAAAAAAACAAACATTTTATGTAAAGGTTAATCAGATGCCATTCCAAAATAAAGTTACAATTTATTACTTTGTATCAAAAAAGTCATATTTGCATATGCAATAATTGAAGCCAGTCAGGACAACACACCTCTTCTGTTCTCTTCAATATTCTTTAGGCAGGGAAAAACAATCAGGACACTGTCTTTTTCATCTGTGAGGTTAATTATCCCATTCAGGCATTGTGATAATGATATACCTCTTGAAAGTTGATGACATCTAAGGTGTTTGCACATGAACCAAAGACTTTGTTGAACATAGATTCCTTAAACATAAAACATAACAAATTAAAAAAAAAAAAAAAATTATTAAACATTTGTATAGTAAGAATTTTAATATAAAATGTCAAGATTCATGGAAATTTATTTCTGAATATAAATTCATTCATGAAGAACATTTTGGTTAAGTTTAATGTTATGCAGTAAAACAAGCTTATATCACAGTGATTTTCATTCCCCATGACTTTAAAATATATTGCCAACTAAACAAATTGTCCATCCCTGGCACTTCATGATAAGCATGTTTTACTGTAGTTAGCTTACATGTACAGAAACAAGATGTATCACAAAATTGCAGGGTTGTCTCTAAGAATTGCAATAGTACAGGATATTAAGAAAGCACAAGGGGTCTGTGATTCTTCCCCTATCATGTTCTTGAGGGGTAACAACAGGATAACTAAAGGATTACGTCATTATACATGGGGAAATTAACCGACCCCCCGGTTTCACTACAGACAACCCTGTAGCAGTATAAATGTATTACATTAAAATGCACTGGATGAATTATGCCAGTCACATCTACATGCTTGTGTGTATACGTACTATTTTAATATTGTTTATTAGTACTTAATCTCCTAAAACTCACGGAGGATTTCAACCAAAAAAAAAATTATCTTGGCGAGATCAAAGCAAGGAGATAAATTTTTTTTAATTAAGAAATAAGGTATCATTTTTTGCGTTTTATTGGGGTGTAAATAAACTAAATACAGGTTAGCAACATGATCAAATCCCATAAGGCCCAAAGGGGGTTTTAACTTCAGCATATGAGGTAATTTTTGTGCACTGCATAGTTAGGGCAGATTAATAAATTTGCCAAAAATATACACAATAACAATATCATGTGTTAACTTCTAAATGTTTTATTGAGGAGGATATACCCCTGTTTCAAATTTCCTTTTCTAACACTGCTATGGTCATAGATAACAAGAGAATGGCCTATTAATTTTGGAAATAAATATTTGCTAGGAAGTACTGAAAATAATTTGTCCTCAACTTCGTTGTGTGGTGATATTAACCCCCCCCCCCTTATAGGGTATGTTATGTTTTATTTATCATGCTGCCGCTGCTAAACTTTATCATCATTATTTATTATAAATAATATTTGTCTATAAATACAATGTTATTACTTCGCCTCTGTCAATATTGATATTTTTTTTGGAGAATAACAAACCATATTCATTACCGAAAGAGTCCATAATTGTATAATATGTGTATTGAAATATTTCGCCTTAAACATAATAAAATTAGTTTAATAATATGCTTATATCAAAATTTTCATTTATTTACATGTAGTCAATACTATATAACTTACTACTTACATACAGTAATTGGCAATAACCTTTTTGTCGTACTGGAGGGGAAAATTTTCCTTGTTTACGTTACACAGGAAGAAGGTGACTTCTGCGCATGCGCAGTGAGGTGAGTCAATGTTCCGATTGCAACCACATTCGGGATGTTTCGGTAGGCCAAAAGCTGCAAAAAGTCGCTTCCGTTTGAAACTACACAGAAAAGCTGGACACATCGACTGACCCAAATAAACTTTAATTCACAAGGAAGATTGTGATGGTATAGAAAGAATATCATCTTCTAGAGACCATTGATCACAATTAAAATTCACAAATCAAATACATTATTTACAGTGATTAATTATCAAAAGTGAATGGCAAAGGGGAATAACTTAATTCTCTCAGTAGAATACAAATTAATAGAGCCCTGGCCAGGACCAAACACTTGACCAAAGGGACCAGATGTTCAAAAATCTGGTAAAGATACTCTTGCTTATTAAAACTTTTACTTTGTTTGCCTCCGATATGCCCAGGAGCAGAGATTTTCAAAGAAATAATGTATTTTCACTATAAATTCAGCACAATCCCACCCTAGCACCAGAACCCATGACCCAGGGTCATGAAATTCACATTTTACATCCCTAGAAACCATATGTAATCCCGATGAAAATTTTGAAAAAAGTTTTAAACACTATTTAACAATATTTTAGACACTCATGCAATAATTAAAAATTAAAAAAACAAGCAAGTTACAAGTGATACTCGCCCTAAATTGTTAACTTCAGAAATCACGAAGGTACAGCACATACGTGACAATTTTCATCAAATAGGTGATTTTTAAAAACTTTAGAATATGGAGAAACAAGGTCATAACACTAATAGACAGTGCAAAGGTCAACCATTGAGCAGAACAGAAATCAACAACAAATGTGGGAAACACTGAACAAACTTGCATCAAAATCACATAATATTGTACCAGTGTCTATTCTGATCATAATTATACCAATGAGGGCACGCAAAAAATTGTTGAGATTTTCAACAATCATTTTACGGAGATATCAAACAAACTTATCGATCTCGGATATCGCTGAGAAAGATTTTCATTATGAGAAATTATTGCAATTTACACAAACCAAACTTGAACATGGTGAGAAATTTAGCATTCCAAATGAAGGGTTATCATTACTGAACAAATTCGACGTAAATAAGTCGGCTGGTATTGATACTATATTTGTCCACGTCTTCTTAAACACACTGCACCAGTTATATGCAAATCAATCCCCCGATCATTTAATAAACCAGCATATGTATTGCGATATTTCAAAATGAACTAAAACTTGCAAAAGTAACACCCATATATAAAAAAAGAAGGAAGACTGGATCCTGGTAACTAAAGCCAATATCTACCTCCCCCCCCCCCCCCCAACACACACATTGTCAAAAATAATTGAAAAACATGTCGCATATCATATTTGTTTGTTTGTTGTTTTACGTCCCTTCGAGATTTTCGCTCATATTGAGATGCCACCACTTGCCGGTGGAAGGCTGTACTAGGAACTTGCCGCCTTTGAGCAGTGAGGAATCTTTTTCGTGCCAGCACGATTTTCTAGGGCAAACGCTCTAACCACTGTGTTAGAGGGTGAAAAAATCATATTCGTAACTTTTTGTTAAATTTTGATCTCTTATGCAAATCGCAGTCGGGATTCAGATAATTACACTCTTGTCAAACTGCTCTTTCTAAACTCGCTGATGAATGGCTATAAGCAGTGGATAATGGCAAACTTGTAGGCATAACCTTCTTTGATTTTAGTAAGACCTTTGGTCTAGTGAATCATGGTATTCTGATAAAAAAAAATTACATTGCTACAATTTTGACCCCAAAGCAGTATCATGGTTAAACTCATATTTAAACAGCAGATTTCAGTGTCCTCCTTGGTAACATAAAATCTGAAAAACAGTTAGTCACAGGGGGAGTGCCACAGGGATCAATTTTAGGTTCACTACTCTTTGTACTTTTTATTAATACTCTCCCATTATTTGTCGAAAATTCAAATATTGACTTATTTGCCGATGATGCTATACTTCACATCTTTCAGACAGTGATGTTTCTCCAATGCAAAATATCTTATCCTCTGATAACATATTCTGCATTGAAGAAACATCACTGTCTGAAAGATGTGGCATATTTGTGATATATGTATATGAAATGTATAACTAATATAGAAAGAAAGTGCTCCCAGAATCAGATGATTTTGAACACCAGTAAAACTAAGTGCATGTTGATGTTGTTAGGCACACACCAAAGACGGTCAAAGGTAACCAGTCAAAATCTAAATTTACAAGTTTCAGATCATTGTCTGGAGAATGTTACAAATGAGATTCCTTGGAATCCATATTGATAATTCTCTCAATTACCAATTATCCAATTACTATCAATTCATCTTACATGTAGATCTGATTCTAATTCCGACTTGTATGTTCAAAAACACAAATCCAAACCAAAAAAACGTGTTTTCTCGTTCCAAATAAACCGTAAATCTGGACTATAATGGAATTCAGCGACAGTTGACAAAAAAAATGCTTATCAACCAACATCGCAATGTTAGCATATAGAGAAAGACTGAAAGACAAATAGTTCATTCCAAAAGATGCACTGAGTTATTGCTGCATTCTCTATTCTATTTACATGTATGACCACGTAGTTTGGGTCAAAAATATAATATGTCGTTGATCGGGTAAGAGGGAATGTTGGCGTAAAACGAGTGGCGCTGTGGGCCGGAAGAAGTAGTGCCGTATTCCTAGGGCTCTTCCCGAAATCACATATTATAAATCCAAAGTAATGGGTAATTTAGTTTCCGAGTTTATTAATAAAAGCATTTAATTTAATGATGGACAGCAATTTTAACATTCAAGAAATACATGCGGGGAACACAGACGGAAGTGGCCAGTAATGCGTCAGGCCTCCGAACTGACACATACAATTCAGATACTGGTATATAAAAGAGTTCTTTGACAACAATTAGCAAATTGAGTGACAAAATGACATATGCTGAGTAAATTACAATCTGTGAGGAGTTTTGGTAAGATAGACATGAAAGAAAGATGAATAAAATAATTACATGAATGTTTTTATAAGGTATTAGAAATGAGTGGTTGTATTAACACTCTGTCCCTTTGTAGTTCTCAGCAATTGTCCAAAGAGTGTCACTATGCAATTAAGTAAATAATTCGGTGTTTCATAGTCCAACAATGAATAAAGATTCAGAACTAATTTCAATGAAAATAACTGATAAAACATAATTATTTAAGTGCAAAATAAAAGTCCAAAAGAAAATTGGTAAAAAGGGTTAATTCTGCTCGGTGATACATGTATACAAAAGGAATGTCGTGTAAACACGAGCATATAATAAATGTCTGGCAGTACAATTTCCGCAGTGTTGACTCAAGGAAGATTTTTTTCCTTCTTCAAAATTAAATATTGACAATAAATAATTTCAAGTCAAATTTATTTTCAGCTAGTTATATAATTATTTTGACATTCTTTAAGATGTTATGGTAAGACCATATTCTGCGTACTGGCTTGGGCCAATAAAGAAAAGTACCTGATATAAAAATTTTATTAACTGTTATTTTTTGGAACCAAAAACATATTCAAACTATGGAATATAACTCAGACTTGCAAGCAAATGAATCTTGTGATTGCTTATCTTAAGGAAGCTCTAAACACTAACATAGAATGTTTACGAACTTGAGGAAAAATTTTGTCATATAAAGGTATACATATTGAGTTTATTTAGTTCGTTTTCAACATAAGGTACCTACCATATTTCCCCAGAAAAAATTCAAAGACAATGAAGTCTTATTGAAAAGAAGTTATTGATATTTATCTACATTGGGAAGATACACACAAATAATTTATTCAGTTACTCTATCTTGGTCTAATATAATGTTAAGAATACAATTATCTAGTACACATTGTGTCTTTCACTGAAGATTCCAGTTTATTCTATCTTGCATCTAAGGGAAGATCACTCTAACTGCATCAAACTACCCTGGAATTAATACTCTCTAGTGAGCAGTGTTTCGAGCTTCCTTAATGGCAACAGCAAATTCTCCATAGCGACTATTAAAAAAGTTATTTTTCGCACATGTGCTTCAACAGCCGTAAAAGATTATTCAAATTTCGTCATAAAATTGCGATTATTCAAAATAAACAATGTAATATGTTATATTATACATTTATTGACTGGGTTTGAGGGCAACATGCGTTTTGTTGGACCCAAGAACCAAACTGTTTGCCTAAGGCCGTTAGACGAAGGCAAACAATTTGGATCGAGGGGTGAACAAAACGCATTTTGCCCGAGAACACAGTCAATAAATGTTTTGTTATACCTTTTATTCTTTTGACAAACATGTATCTTGTGCTGGCTTCCATGATGTAAATTTTCTTTACCTGTACTAAAACTCGTTCTATTCTGTCAATGTCGAACAATAATAAATGCAGGTTTAGCTAATCCCGCCCACTGTGTAACGTAAGCGGTCCAATATCTCATCGACAAGTCCAATATCTCACTCTGCGGTCAAACAGCGATTTTTTATGATCATTTAGTAAAACACTGGAAATGTTAGACTTTCTTAATATAAATAATATAGGAACCATTTTTGAAAGGTAAAACAATATTGTTTGAAATAAGTCCATGACAACAACTTTCAGCAAACAACAACTAATGTATCTTACTAAGAATTTACGTGCTATTCATCCAGTAAAGCGGATTTCAACTGAGAGATCGTCTCGTTTATTTTGGAAAAAATTGTCCAGTTATTGTCCAGTTATGTAAATGACCGTATAGATTGAGAATGGGAAAAGAACATCAAACTTTGTATGTAACATTTGTTATCATGGCAACAAGAAATATTGCTTGCAACAAAGTACGAAATATTTATTTTTACCAAGGAAAAAAATCCTAGTACAGTTTTCCAGTGCTATATGGACGTGATTTAATATATATGATGTAAAACAGATTCCCTTATGCACGTACTGAAAACTGACACATCTCTAGCAACAAGGACTAAGCAAAGCTTTTATATGGTTCATACATCTTAAGCAACAACAAGGAAAAGTTAGAAAAATTTTTAGGTTAATAATAAATTCAAAGGTCGATCCAGGAAGTTTCGGGGAAAGGGTGGGGTGAATGGTTGTGTC